TCAGTGCGTCACAATCAGCGATTTAACGATTCGTGAGCGCTCACTCTGAGTGAACACTCGCGAATCATAAGATCGCTGATTGTGACGCTCTGAAAGCTAAATTGACCGGTTTTATGAGTCAAATGAATACTTTACACCCTCTTCTTGTTACTTACAAGTACAACATATCATTATATTATCTAATGATTTCATAATTCCGAAAAACATCGTTTTATAGCAAGTGAGTGGAAGCAACCCTGCCTGCACAGCTTTCCCGAAGACATCAACCTTCTATCAAATCGGAATGTCATGCAAGCAAGTAGTTAGAGATCAAATGGCACACTTTCGCTACCTGGTGAGCGATTTCTGAACTGAGCCAGTTGTCAAATAATTGCAACACAGAAACCACCATCAAGATAGTGCTATAACATGTTATAACTCTGTAGTCTGAACGTACTATAATAGTACGTTCAGACTACAGAGTTATAACATGTTATAGCGCTATCTTGATGGTGGTTTCTGTGTTGCAATTATTTGACAATCGTTATAATATGTTATAACTCTCCAGTCTGGACAGCGTTTAAGCCTGATTTCGCTTGTTGTTTTCATTTAGGGGTAATAGGGGCACAGTGAGCATCTCGTGCGCCAACTTGGACTTCCGGCCGTTCGGAACAAATTTATTGGTGGCAGGATCAATATCATAATGATATTGAACCTATACTACCAGTTGATTTGTTTCATGCAGCTAGAGATCTAGGGCCAAACTGCGGGATGCTCACTATGCCCCTCCTCCTCCTATGTGTTCTTGAATGCAGGCAAAGAAATACATGCGATATGAACTGGAAAAACATATCGGCAGCACTAAAAATGGTCCAAAATGGCCATTCCATTCACCAAGCAGCTATATCTTGTGGAATTCCCGCAAGATAAATCCGGAACAAATTGCGATGTTCTAGATCCGGGATGTAGAAAATCGTGTTATTGCATGGATATTTGATATGGCTAAGCTAGGATTCCCAGTCAACACACGAAAACTAACAGCTTACGTTGCACTGTACATAAAATACAGTGGAAGGGTGACAAAATTCAAGAACGGTATCCTGGGAAAAATGGTTTAAACATTTTCTACTAAGTCATCCTAATAATACTCATGTTCCAATAGTAGAATCCAAGTGAAACTTATGCGTCACTAGTGGCGGGAAATAGTACTAGTCGATGGTGATAAATTTATGGCAGCCGGTTTAAATTCCAGAGTATTGACAAAAGAGTTCAAAATAGTGAGATACGAGCATTGCTGTAGGAAATTTGTCGAATAATGTAATGTTATATTAATTTTCATTGCAATGTCATTGAAAGATAATGAAAATGGGTTTTTCGATGCACCAATATTATTTAGGTTATGTTTTGTATGATTGAAATCGACGTCCAAGTCAGTCTGCTGGATATACTGGATGATGTTGGGGACTCCGTGCTAGCGGATTTAGAGACCTAGCATATTGTGTGCCTGGGCTACACCAGTAGATCTGCAGCAAAGCAAGAATTGAGGGGAATGGATTTGTTCTGAAAAGTTCCCATCCCGGGGAGCGGCCACATGAAATTAATTATCCCCCCGACAACAAACTTTGGAACTTATATTCTTCTGATCCGTAAACAGTGGCAACCTTTCTCCACTGCACGAATTTGTTGCTCCTCGAATTCGGAGCTCGAAAAAGTTGAAATTGGTTCTCGTTGCATCCTGCATGCAATTGCATGCAACGATCCTGCGACAACAATGAGAATGTTAAGCGGTGGAGCGTGTGTTTACGTAGTCTAAAAATTCAACTATTTTCCTGATTGCAAGCAGTGATATCATAGTAGTCATTTGTCACTTTGAAGAAGGAAACTTTTCCTATACAATTCTACAAGCTTTTTGACCGTCAAAAACGTACCAAGACAAGACAAATTTTCAATTTAAAACGTGAAAATTCTGATGTGAGTCACGTTTAACAGATGTTTACATTTTTATCACCGCTACGACAACAGCACCACAGGTGGCCGGTAATTGGTTGGATTTTACTATTGTCCTTCCTAAATACCGAGAAATTGTCACAAAAGGACAAATCAGATCATGGTTTAATGAAATCGCAGAATTTATTGAGTCAGAGGGTTTCCAAAATGTTTTACAAAATCGATTTAGAATTTTTAACATGGACAAAACGGCAGTAAGAACTATCCCAACTAAGGATGTGGTTCTCGCTGGGGTAGTTAGTCGGATTGTACATGCGCGTGTAGGAAACTCGGATAAAGATTCGTACACTGCTCTGTTATTTGGTGCTAGCGCTTCAGGATTCCAGGCGAAATCTTCAGAAAACTATCACAAGTGTGGGCCGCTGGCAAGACTGAGACAGGTGGTTGAATAGGGGTACGTTTTTTCCTTTTTTGTAGATGGCCACAAGTCTCACGTGTCCCATCCCTCAACGGAGTTTTGCAAAAAAAAATCCAATATTATTCTAGTATGCTTGCCAGCAAACACAATACAAATCCCGCAACCGCTTGATGTGTGCTTTTTTAAACCACTTAAGTTTCAATGGAGCTGTATGTAGCGTGGAGGATCGATAATAGTGGGGAGCTTCTCCTGAAAAGCGAGAATGCCCCGCTGCTCAAGCAAGTTGTTGACAAAATGGAAAATCTTACATCAACATTGACAAATGGATTTAGGCGATGCGGTTTATATCCGTTTAATCCAGATGCAGTAAACTACAGTTCATTGATTTCAGAAAACGTGGAATAACTCAGCAGCTGAAGTAGGTACAGAGCACATCAATCACATTGGATTTCTGGAGCAATTGCAAGAATTTTTATCACCACAACAGCGTTTTAAACAACAGCATGACATGAGAAGCTGGACTGGTCCAATATAAGACACCAGCCTATTTTTTGTTTGGAAACGAATTAGAGGCGAAGGACGACCGGTATGCGTTTATGGAGCTGAGGTTGAACCACTAGGTACTGATAACGAGGATCCTCCATTCTTCGGTTTCCCGAAAGCAGACATCGAAACAGCTACCCAAGATATACATAAAGTCTTTTAAAGCATTGTTAAAATTATTAATGTTTTCCAATTAAATTTCAGGTAAAAAAAGTCAAATGGCCCCTGTTATCGAAACTCCAACCACGACATTTTCAAGACTCTTTGCACAAGCATCTGAAACCCATACATCCAAATATAAAAAAAAAAAATATCCGAGACTCAGCAATCAAATGTCACTCCCGCCGAGATCTCAGCGAAACCCTCCCCGCCGAGACCCGCACAGCCGAGCTCGGTAGAAAAAACTAAGTGTGTAGATAGATTAGTAGGAAAATAAATAAAACTAGTTTATGACTCAAAGTGCAATGAATGAGCGTTAATTTCGGGATCATTTCAGTGTTAGAGCTATGTTAGTTTTGATCCGTAATCAGCCCTGCCGGCCCCTCCAACATTAGTTGCAGGCAGTGGTTGTTAGATCATGCGGCACTGTAACTACTACTATTTTAGAGGTATGATTCGTCAAGCTTATACAACTCCATGTTTCAATTGAGGCAAACCATCTATCTTACAATTACAATTATATGCAAAACGAAACTTGACAAATCATCGTCAATCCCCCCACTCCAGGGCAGGGCCTGACGATCTGAATCTAACTTTGATCAGTGAACGGGCACCACATGGTATATTTTCTCACCATGAACCTATCATTTCCAGCCTATCTGAACTATTTAATAAATGGAAGCCATAACATGGGTTACGCTCCCCCTAAGCTGGCCCTCCGCATCCTATCCCTGTCCTATCTCAAATACAAAATGCCAATGGTATGAATGTATCTATATATAACTTGGAAATGACGTACAATCAAATAAACCCGTAACCCACTCACCCGGCCAGGCTTCAGAATCGTCCAGTGGGCAGCGCGCTACACACTCCAAGCCCCCTTTTTTTTCAAATTTACCGCAAATTTGATATTTTACCCATTGTGTGTTGATTAATCACAATGAAACATTGTGACAGAGGTTGAGGTTACTAGTGTATTAAATAATCAAATAATCTAGGTCCCATCCAGGACTACATCTGAAAAATCCAAATCTGGCCAACGCCCACCCTAAACCTAAACCTGTTCTAATCCACCTGAAATGACTAACGAATGGAAGACTTTGACTACCCAGCCATGCAATAGTCTCATTCCGTGCCTTATGGCAACTTGATGATTCTATTGCGCTCATCTTTTGGCACCACCCAGGGGAGACTTGGTCCTGTACCCAATGCTTAACTTATCTCCATTCCACTCAGCTACTCGCAATTTCTTGTGATATAGTGGGCGGAATATTATTATATGAGACAATTCAATGCAGACGTCTTTCCAAATTTGGCAGATCGACAGGTAATCGGTGAGTTACCACGATAGTTGCTATTCAACAACTCGACAACGTCCCATCGTCAACGCCTGCTATGAGAATTTCCCATTGCAGACGCCAACGAAATGACGTCATCGATCTATCGACCAACTACCTTGGTTATCGCCTGGTACCTTATAGCATGATGCTGGGAAGAATCGATGAGCTACCTCCCCCACATAAATGTTCCAACATTGTATTATAAAATCGTTTTTGCCTCAATAAATTTATGAAAGTAAGATATGTTGTTCTCTTTTGATAATCAAATCACTATAAACTTGAAATTTAAGATTCTAGCCCGTTTTTTGAGCGAAATTAGGAATCAAAGCATTAACGTGAGCGAAATTAGACACTTGGAGATGCTGCGAAATGTACTGTCAAATTATTATTAAATTTGCAGATAGATGTCAATTTAACATTTTTAGAATTTATTGGAGTTCCAATTCTACCATTAAGCGTAATAAGTGAATTGCGTTAATTTATTAAAATTTTTAATGCATCCTTAAATTTTGTGAAAACTAAAAGTGCGTGAAATTATGGTACTTCACGGTACTAGCGGAGCGTTGTGTTTTTACAGACAAGTGGTTGGAGCACGAGTTATCAAAGGTTATCATACAGATGAACTTATTCGTCCTACATGTATCAATATCAAATAAAGTTGCGTCCTAGGGGAAGTACAACTTGATCTGAAGTAATATTTGGTGTAAAAATTGCTCAAATTAGTAATTATTATAGTTTTTAATATAAATATTAATGATATTAACTGTCAAACGGAAAGCTACAAAGGAAACAATTTTAACAGTGTAGCTATAACGAATACACTCAATCACGGTATACATGAACAAAGTAATATACTCTCGATTGTAAACATCAAGTTTGAATGTCGACTAATGACGTCATTGCTATCTTTCAATAGTTTGCAGGGGAATAACTCAAATTGTACAGTGTAAAAACATTGCAGACACAGCAAATCACTTCATTTTGTTCAGCAAAAGGCTCTCCAAGGCTCTCAAAGGATAGGAATGACGTCACTATGCAAATGTCATTTACCAGAATACCTTACCTTATATAGCGTACACCGTGCACTCAATGACGTTTCACCGTTGTTGTTTATGTTTACTGATGCAGCCGAGGATGCAGCTTTCTGTTTGTCATTATTTTTGCGTAATTTTTCGTTTTTGGCTTCGGCATTGGCCGTTCATCCATTACAACATCCGGCAGCAAATCTCACCAGGCTCATGACGAATCAAGCGAAAACGAGCACGGAACGTGTATATTGATATCATGTACCAAGGTACCAAGGAATGTCGAATTTAGGAGGACAAGGAGTGGATTTCGGTGGTGACGGCCAGCAAGATCAAGTTTTGTGTTCCACCGAGGATGCACGGAAGCTTAGGCGTATCGATGTTTTTTTTTTATTTCGTGTTGGTAAAAGACAGGCTACAGTCGTCCCACCCAGATAAGACCCCCGCCCCATTCTTCAACTTCGATTATTTTTCCTTGTTTTACATGTGCATCTGCGTGTTCATAAATAAATAGGGAATAATAATTGAGAACTTGAGAACACAGGTAATGATTGCCATTATGTATCCTCCTTTCTACAGAGAAATTTCTCTTAACACTTGCCGATAGATTTCCGATTCCGGCAAAAAATTTGACATTCAATTGGAATCAATCAACACAGATCCACAGCATTTGATAAATAGTTGGAAAAATAATTCAAACAAATGTATACCGTTCTTTAAAGTATGGTTGGATTCTTTCTAACACTTCCGTTTCAAATGAATCTATTGACTCGGATTTCGAATTGTTCGTTTTGCTGGATGGCATGAATTGATCCAAGCCTGCATCATGAATGGTGTTGGCCAGCTTCAGGATAAGTTTTTTCTCCCCTCTGAGAAAAGTAAATTTTTCCGGGTTTTCTGCGTATATTTCACGCATTCATGTTCTTTTTATCAAAGAACCAAATATTCAAATTTAAAGAAAAATATTAGAATAATAGTGAAGGGAATAACTTGCCTCTCGTGTGAAATCCATTTTTCATTAAACGAATGTCAAATGTACACTTAAACCAAAAATAGTCAAAAAACAAAAAAAAACAACTGTCAGACTAAGTATGACATTCACAAATATCACAAATATTAAAATATTTAATATTTCCACCATCGGTATTGATGCTTATACTTGGAGCTGGCCTTCCCCTAGGTTGCGTCATCTACTTCGAATCAAGCCAGTCTCTTCTCAGCTACGGAACACTTAGGATTCAGGATGAAAACTTACTACAGTTGGATGTTTGCAGTGCTATATCTGGCACTGAGCCGCGGTCCATCATTAACCAATCAGCAGAAAGCGGAATGCGATGGCATAAACAGATACGTAATTCCAAACTTTACGGTGAGAGCTTATATGTCACATTTACTAGCTGTGTAAACGCTAATAGCTTATTTCCAATCCAGACTAACTGGTTTAAAGCCATGGAATATTGTCATTATCTAGGCCTGAAGTTGACGAGAGTACAATCCATGGACGAGCAGAATGCCATCGTTAAAATTATCGAGACTACCGATAAGGATAATAGCACCACAATGTGGACTGGTGGTAACGATTTAGGAGATTCGGATAACTATCACTGGTACTCAACAGGAAACAGAGTAACGTGGTTCAATTGGGTGCAACAGAAAGACAATGTCTACAACCACAGGAACGACCAATATAACAGAAGAGGACATTGCTTGCATTTTGTATATCAAACTGAGCTCAATGAATGGAGATGGAGTACTGATGAATGTCACCAGAACAAATACTTTGTTTGTGAAAGATTTTAATGTTTGAAGGACAAATAAATTGCATTTAACAATCAAACAGTTCCACTTACCTCGCAGCTGTACGGTTTCCGCTTCAGATGTACCCCGTTGATGTGATTTTTTAAATTTGCTAGCGTCTTGAAAGTATTTCCGCATTCAGTGCAGTCGAATTTTCTCTCTTCGCTGTGAACCTTGATATGTCTCGCCAACGATGACGGCACTTTAAACGTTCTGCTACACAAATCACAACCGTACGGAAAATCATTGGTCTTTTTGGAAGGCTTCTCTTCCACCTTCATTGGAACCATTTCAACAGTACCTTCGTTTTCCAGCAAAGATTGTTCAAACCGTATGCTTACATCTGTCTTACCGTGGACCATCAAATTATGTCGCCTCAGATCTCGGATTCTCAGAAACGATTCGTTACAGAATTCACAATGGTGCGACTTTTCCGCGTTGTGTAGAATCATATGTGACTTGAGTGCGCCTTGTTGGATGAATTTCTTGCCACACTGCTCACACTGATAAGCCCGAATGTTATTGTGGATGGCAAGGTGTAGTTTTAGATTACCTTTCTGTGCGAACTGTTTATTACAAATATCACAAGCATACTTTCGGGTCCCTTCATGTTTTTTTAGATGCGTTTTAAGGGTACATTCGTAGCGAAAGCTTTTTCCACAAATATTACACAGATAGGAGGGAGGCCTTTGTCGCTTTGCCATGTGAGTCAACTCATGATTCTTCCTATGGGTGTGCTGAATAAAGGACTTGTCACAGTGGCGGCATTTGAACTTTTTTTCCGTGTCGTGCGTCTTAAGATGATACTCGTATTTGGAAGTGCGTGTAAATTTTTTTCCACACATAGGACAATTATAATCGCCAACTGAGTGAACCATTTTCTTATGTTTTCTCAGATAGCGCCTGCATTTGAAGGACATCTCGCATTCATCACAAGGGAATGCATTCACTTCACTATGCAAATATAGATGATTATTTCTGATGGCGACGGTTCGGAAAATTTTATCACATACAGAACATTTTAGCTTATCATTGTCTTTTAAAGGATTTTCCTCGTTTTCCAACGATGATTCTTCACCTTCTGGCTTATATTCCGATGACGATTCTTCACTTTCAAATGAAACATCATTTCGATTCTCATTTTCACCATCTTCTGGTGGTTCAATATTCTTAGAATCGTTCAAAATCTCCGAATCTTTAACACAGCAGACTAGTAAGTCCGGCTTGATATCTGGAACATTTTCGGGAAGCTTCACGAAGTAATGCTCGAGATACTCTTGAGCTTTTTCGCATTGCTTTCGGAAAGCATCGACAGCCAGTAACCGTTCCATGCAAATACTGCAAATATTTGCCGGATATCCATCGTCTTTCGCAATCTAGAAAGTCATACAATAAAGTAATATTAGAATACAAAACGACCCTAGCGCAACTTACATACCTTCAGTTTCAGTAGCGACAATTTATTGAACAAATCGACCAATAATTTACCACTGGATTCAGTGTCTTCGAAGATCGAAACCAACTGTTGGTCAGAGTCGGTGTTTAGACACGTTCGACAAGTGAATGAAAGCGATAACTTGTCCACACATACTGCTTCGAATGGATCCTCAGTCTTCATTTCAAGGATCTAATTTGTCTTGTAACAATTAGGTTTTGCACCGTCGGGGTTAACCTCAATCTGATGACAGTTTAGTGGTACTGTTTACGTGGACTTAGCCGATTTTTTCTTGGGTGGATTTTCTCGATAATTTTTCAGACTGCAGTGAGATGTAAACCACATTTCTGCAATGTTCACGAGCAACATCCTTGCAATGCGTTGTTCCTCGACAATTTTCAAGTTAAAATTCGGAAATTTTAGAATTCTTTTTTTCGAAAAAACGACTAAGTGCTTGTAAACAGTACCACTGAACTGTCAAAAAGGTTCAGCCGATTAACACTGAGTTCATTTGTGACGTCACGCTGCAGAACCTAATACACTGCAGAAATATGACCGAAATATTCGGAAACTCAACACTAAACCGAGCACTGAACAGAGAGACAATCTTATGTCGTTTTCGTTCTTGAGGTGTAGCAACAACGAGACTATACAACCAGACACTAAAATTATTCAGGATGTAGATATTAGGTGCACCTTTGTTTACAAACAAATGATGTTGAGCCGTCAATGAATTGCGCTTGTTGGCGCCGCTGCACTTCTGGTTCTAACAGCAAAAACGAAAACTAAAGAGCCTGAATTTATAAAGAGACGACTTCTTGTCAAAATTGGAACAATCGATTATCTCACGCTAACTTGCAAGTACCCATTTAATGAGTATCTTATACTCTTTTTTGGAATCCATACTAAGTTGTCAAAAAATGGGTATTTTCAAAAATTGAAAAATGGTTACTTTTTATTCACTTTAAAAAATGTGTTTTGGAATAAAAATGGGTAAACACATTATTATTATTTAGCATTTTGGTGACATGTCAAAAAAACCACGGATCAAGACGAACGCGTAGGAACCCGCATAAACGCGAACCATCACATGACCTTACCGATAATGGTTATAAATTGTTTATAATCCCTGCTAAACTTCAACTGAAATGGTTATGGAACTTTACATGAACGTTTGTGTGATAAAGTTTTAACCTTATGTATTATGGTTTTTTGGAAGCGGACCTTACAAATAATGGGTTGTTAAGAACCATTACCATTCCAAATTCTTGTTTTCTCCATACATTTTCGGAAAGAGAACTATATTAGAACGTTTTTACTTATGGTTTGAGAACATTAATGGTTATGGTTATGGTAGTCAGTAAGGTCCATTAATGGTTTTGTATTATCGCTCAACTTTACATGAAATATATCGTGAATTGGTAATCAGTAATTTACAGGCAACCAATTCGCGATATATTCCACATAAAGTTGATCGATGTTACAAAACCATTCATGGACCTTACTGGTTACCATAACCATTACCATTAATATACTCAAACCATAAGTTAAAAGGTTTTAGTATAGTTTTCTTTCAGAAAATGTATGGAGAAAACAAGAATTTTGAATGGTAATGGTTCTTAACAACCCATTATTTGTAAGGTCCACTTCCAAAAAACTATAATACTTAAGGTTAAAACTTTATCATTAAACGTTCATGTAAAGTTCCATAACCATTTCAGTTGAAGTTTAGCAGGGATTATAAACAATTTTAACCATTTTAGGTAAGGTCAATTTATGGTTCGCGCTTATGCGGGAAGCTCGAACGGAAGTTTGACTGTGTTAGCAGATTCCATCTGGCCGGTGTTAATTCAGGTGAAAAAAATGTTCATGCAAATAGTGCCCCAGACAGACATCTCTTTATTACAGCAGCACGACGAAAAACAGCAAACCGAGGTGATTTTCACGAGGTAAGAGCTATAGAAGTGGGATGAATTCCATTCTCAGGCTGTGTTCCATTTGGTGAATTTTCACTTAAATTTGACACTTCGAAAATAAATTAAGATGTTCGAAAATCCCTCTGTTGTTGATCTTCCTATTTTCGAGAAGGTGTTTGTCAAAATTTATTCATCGTCTGTCAAAAATAAGTCCGGTACAATAGCAGGTTTATTTGAAAATTTTCCATCTGTCAAATTTAAGTGAAAATTTACCAAATGGAACACAGCCTCAGTTCCGTTCCAGGTTAGCGGAATAAAAGTATAGGAGATTGACGTTAGCTTCTATTAGTGGAGACTGTGCGAGTGAATGTCCAGTACTGAGTTTAAACAAATTTTACAGGGTGGCCGTGGAACCAGTGGAATTCCATCGAATATCAGGATGCCATTTGCGGCACTATTTTACTTACGCACAGCGTTTCCATTTTGGCTATCACTCCTCTCCACACCGGTCGTTGCTATCAGAGTCATAATATAAGTTACCGTTTTCCACACCGGCAAAACAAACTTTTGACGTTTATTCAAAATAGCAACCGCCTGATGCGTTGCTACCGGGTTGCTAAATTTATGAACTCACTTTCTCTTAGAGCAACCGTACCAATGAGTAAATAAGGCACATTTACCAACCTCTACCATAACGCTACTTGCGTACCGGGGGTTGCTATTCAGGTGGGGGAAATAGCAATCCGCACCTTGGGAAGTAGTGAGTTCATAAATTTAGCAACCCGGTAGCAACGCATCAGACGGTTGCTATTTTGAATAAACGTCAAAAGTTTGTTTTGCCGGTGTGGAAAACGGTAGCTTATATTATGACTCTGATAGCAACGACCGGTGTGGAGAGGAGTGATTAAGCCTAAATGGAAACGCTTTGCGATAGTAAAATAGTGCCGCAAATGGCAACGACTGGTACGGTTGCTCTAAGAGGAAGAGGAGACAACACTGGCTTCTTACTCTTTTATCTCTATCTCTATTATCTTTATCTTACGCACTTCAAATTGGCCAATCACGAGCTGGTTCGCGTTTGACAGAAAAGTGGTTCGTTTTCTCCCCCGTATTGTCTCATCTTCCTCTTAAGTTATTCCAATCGAGTAGAAGACCTGTCAAAATGATGTCTCTTTGTAAATTCCAAGGGGGGGAGGTGGCTGTCAAATACGAACAATCGTCGCCTACCTCGCATGCCTCGCATAACTGGTTCCAAAGGTAAACAAGCCATAAGAAACCTACAGCGATTGTTTACGTTTGGAGCCAGTTTTATACAAGAATGATCAGTAGGCTGATTTGACAGCACGTCCCCCCCCCCCCCAGGTAAATTCAGGCTCTTTAACGAAAACGACATCACGTCTTCCTTCGGAAGGGAAGTAAAGCCGTTGGTCCCGGCCCATGTGTGTTGAATGAATGGGTGCGATATCCTATGCAGGTGTGGAAGCTGCCTTCCTGCACATTCGATTGCTTGGCATGGATGGCAATCGATGGCCGTCGGTGATTGGCACTAGATTGCGGAACAGTTAAATAAAGGAATGAAAAATGAAAACGACATTAATAAAAATGAAAATATGGACCAGTTAAGGCCCACGCACATTAGATCCGGATCGGACGCGTTGCGGCAAAGTGACAGCTAAATCTATTGTCTAACTGTCTAATTTACGTCAACGCAACGCAAACGGATTGATGCAATGACATTTATATAAGGTCTGGGCCAACAGGCAGCTTGCTAGTGTTAGAAGCAAAAATGTTGTAAACACTGCAGAACATCTCCGAACAGATAGAAATACGTCACTGCCAACATACTGAGAACAGATAGAAATACGTCACTGAAAACAGCTGTTTCGTGTAAAAAGATAAACATTGCAATAAAATACGAACACCACTAAACATTAATTTGCACATTTCACTAACACCAATAAGCCCTTTGGCCCAGACCTTATATAAACGTCATTGGATCTGATGTGGGTGGCCCTTTAGGTCTGTGCCAAATGTGCACAAATGGGAAAGAAAAATAAAAATAAAAATGAAGTATACACTCAGAACAAAATTTAAACTAACTACTTTAAAAATCACTCTAAATCGCTATTCGCCTGGTTGACTCATACTGCCGTTCTACGCATATCAGTCCCATGTTTCAAAAGTTGCTTTTGAGTAAATCGCGAATAATGTTTCGAATCATTTCTGCTCATTGGAAGAAATATACGTTAACATAAGTTACCGCATTGTTCACATTTAAACAGAATCAATATGTTTTAGTGAAAACTACAGAAATTACCTTCAATGAAATCAGTTAAGCCTATTTTTATACGAAAAATATTTAATGGGACTATTATGCCTAGAAATTTGCAATGAAGTAGGATATTCTACGCATGTTAGTCCCACTAGGAGCTGTTACTTTCAGTGTTGCTTTGATGGTCACGTTGCGTTTGACGTCTTTACTCTTGTGCTTGTATAGACCTTTTTGACGTTTAACCATCTTTCTCTATCTAACACACATGGATGAATGGACGGTTTGTTTTCCCACTAATCTGTTTTCCTTTTGCTCGCACTCGTTCGCTTTAAATGGTACAGTAGTGTGCGCCGATTAAACGTCAAAAAGCTCTATGAGCGTGGTTGCGTTATCTCCGAAGTTTTGGAAGATCCATCATAAAATTATACCAACAATAAATTTGTTGACATTGCGCTACTTCTATAAAACTATTAAAAGTATGGGCATTTCCAGAAACTAATGATGAATGCACTATTTAGAACATAAACTTCTTAACATCTTGTTCTACTCCTTATAGCAAGATGAACGTAGGCCTAAAGGAGATTGTGCTTAATCATTTTAAGTCCAACCATAGATTTATGGCGGCTGACATGCTGTGGACAAAAGATCAATACGTTACACGATCGTTGACCGTGGGCTTTGATGATTTCAAGAAATACTTTGGATGAGTTGACATGCACATGCAAATTTCTTCCGTACGGAATTGACCTTTATACTGCGTATTATCATATTATAAAAGGGGCTTTTCATGAAACACGTAGACACTATAGGGGGAGTGTGGGTGTGGCGAGTGTCTACGTAAGTGTCTAATAATGCATTGTTTGAAATAAGAAACTGGTGTTTTAATATGAAATCCCGGTTTTCTTAATATTTATCAACATAATATAAAACTTCCACTTCCTAAAATGATTCATACCGTTTCTTTTGATTGCATAAATCCTGTTTCAATAATTTGTGTACACAAATCGATTCT